AGCTGGTAGCTTGTTGGAACGATGCCCATTTGTTACTGGTAGCTCAGCTGCGGTGCACCTGTTGTGTGTTTTCTCTTCTGATGTATTGCGACACAGTAGCTGAGGTGGTTTCCATCTCTAGCTCAGGTGTATGGTATACGTAATGTAATGTGCCAATTTACTGCAATAACGAGGTGCTATGTGAAATACTAGGGTTCACAATACAGTTAAAAGATGGTTAACATTGTTGTTGCATTGCATTGCGTTGTTACACGCTCGTGGCTGTTATTATGGATAACGCAGTAAATTCTAGTTATTTATTTTTGCTGAAAAACCAGTTTGCTCAGCAAGAATGCCAATATTTAGCACGAACAGCCTTACTGTGTGTTTGCATTACCATTATTTTTTATTAATATCCGCATCTACTATCACATTGCCCAGTCTTGTTAATTATCCTTATACATATTCCCTCTGTCACAGGAGCCTGATAGTACAAGGTCGTCCTACCAACAGCTTACCTTTTACGTAATGTTTTACACCAGTACATTGATTTTACGACAAGATTTCCGCATGGGACATGCTTCAACATGCCTTAGATTCTTGAGCAATTTGTTACGCAGTTTAACCGTAATCTGTTTTTGTAATACAGACGGCTTGACCTTAAATATGTATTTGCAGGTTTCTCAAAACTCTTTCCTTACCTACTTCATTTCTTACCGCGGTAGTTTGCCTTCTTATTCCATTGCTGCTGGACAGGCACACGCTATTTTAAAGTATGTTTGCGTCATTGGTTCTCTTATTTAGGATGACAAATATCAAAAACTGCGCGATTTGAGTTGTGTTTGCAGAAAAGAGTATGCCAGTCCGTGACTTGTTTGTCACAAAGGGTATGGTAGAAGTGCAATCTCATTAACTCGTTTATTGATACATTTTGTTTAAGCTGACTCACAATGTTGCATAGTAGAAATATGTATCTTATATAGAGCAGACTGCTTCCTGGACACTTCCTTTTTCACTATACTGGTAATTGCATCAGAACCTCCCGACTGTGCGAAATTGAAGTAACTACAGTACCGATGGGGAACAACACCTAAAACGTGAAGCTTGTTGCATAAGTAAGCATACACCAAGTGCTTTCTTTGTCAGTAATACCGGATGAAAATCTTAGTGGACGTTTTTAAATACTCACCGTTAGCATATACGTAAACAGAAGCGTCGTTTTGACAAACTCTGGTTGACGTGTTAAGTTGCTGCCAACTTTCCCTTTGTGATATTTTTGAATAAAACAAATAATAAAATTAGGAGTATTCACATTTGTGCTATTTGCACTTATAAATTATACAGACAAAAATGCAAGAACACGAGGTTGTGAAGAATACTCTGTTCGACTAAGATCATCAAGGTTTTACCATCGTAATCCTCATCATCATCGTGATCAACAAGAACAGTACATTGGTCATTTGAACAGTAGCTTCATTGCGGTACAACCAAAGTGTCTTACGGAACGAAGAATCATAACCAGGAGAGAAGGGGACTTAACATAAAACCTTAATGCCCTAAACAAGGCGCCTACACATTGGGATCAACATGCCGTCACAAACAATGCAAAGGCGGCATCGGTGAAATATTTTCTTTACGGCTTTCATTGCCACGCGTCTTAATCAGCCATTGCACCACGGATACCTTAGCACCAAACAAATTTAAACAGGTAGTCCGAATTTGTGACAGCAACAGACGTGCTGCCGGGACATTCTGCGAGCCATATTCTGTAATGTCTCTAGCCAAGGTCAACTGGATTTCAGCCTGGAAGGTGAGACGAACCAACAGAACCCAGGTTGGTCGTCAGTGACATCATACCGCTACCAAGTTAACTTGTGCCCATCATGATCCATCTCGATCTTGTGTCCACTCTACCTCTTGTAGACAAAACAAGCCGCTTCTCGTTAAGCGTTGACCGGGCAAACCTAGTGTGTGCATAGCCAACGCAACTTATTCAGTGTTATCTATTGTTTTGAGGAACTACCCTGATTACCACTACCTAGCACTCATCTACGCACGTCCTCGTTACGAACACACTGGGTCCATCCGACACCAGCAATGCTCCGCAGACAGCGATTATCAAAAACGTGAATGCGCTTCTGATCCTCAGACCGAAGGGCCAGGTCTCACTACCATAGAGTAGGCCGACCCTCAGTGCTACTTTGTAAACGCGGACTTTCAGACCGACGCCACAGATAGCGTAGATAAAAGACAGCAGTGAGATCTTTCGGATTATGTCCAAATACGTTTTTACAATTATGGTATGCTTTCCAGAGACAACCATCTATGGAGACAACTGGATATCAACCTGTCAGCGGATGGTAGGGTGCATAACGTTGCGGTAAGGCCGGTATTATTGTATGGAGCAGAGACCTGGCTAGACCGTGGCGAAGATCTTAAACGCTTGACCGCTTTTGGCAACCCCTGCTTGCGGAGTATTTTTCACATCTTAATCACTTACCTTGGCTAGACCATGTCCTCCGTATATACGTTGATTGGCTTCCTCGGCGTGCATTATACGCCGTGGTTACACCAAATTGTTTGAAATCGCAAATCGGCCAGTCCATGACGTAGCACAAAGATAGGGAGAAATCGACTGCGGGACTTGGTCAGGCTTCCGGATGGTCCACATCGATGGTTGGGGACTGTATCGGACATGGCACAGTCACGTAGTCAACGACGTTCCTGCATTCGCTTTCTTGCACCTGGGTGTTAATTTTGTTCCATTCTGATTGGTTTAACGAACTTCTTTCCTGTTTTCCTTTTACTTAATTGCTACTAGCATTCAACCCAACTGCTTTGCCGTTGTTATCTCTTGTTATTCTTATGAGGTGAGTTGTGGCGACTGAATCCACCACATTTTGGTGCTCGGGTCATATTTGTTCAGCTGAACGGAACTGACCATAACTATTGTGATATGGATTGTTGGGATTTCACCAATCCGTGCCCGCCTTCACCAGCCGATTGTGTAGCAATATGCTATTTTTACATCTTCTAGCCTTATACGATTTTTACCTGGTAGGTACTTTTCCAATCTGTTGCCCTTGAATAAATACTCACAAGTTATCATACATTGCCCTTGTACACAAATAAAAGATGCTCATTTTAACACAATAGTAGATGTTCACCTTAAAGGTTTGGCGTCAGTCCAATATACACAAAGCAAAGATGTTTTCTGCTCACCATTTCAGCGCACGTCCTTTTTTAAATAAGCTATTTTGTAATTTCTCAATGTCATGACTTGTTTAAGTGTTAATTTTCCTTTTTCCTGTTTAGATCCTTAAGTTGTTAATCGTGTTCATAGTTAATCGTGCAACATATGTGTGGTTGTTCTTTATAAAGACTTCAACCACTTCAAAATGAGACGTCCCATTGCAACCAGTCGTTGAAGGGCCATCCGTAGTGCTTAAGCATTGCAGTCCTAGAATCCAACAACTGGTATGTGGGTGGATCTCTAGCTTATCGTTTGCGTCACGTCTAACCGCTTTTGGAACCATGGATAGGGTCCAAAGGATGAGGATTTTCATTGGCTTGACACCCTTGAAGGCCTGTTCCGTAGCCAAAAGCAGGGCAATAATTGGGTGCCTGAAACACATGAAATTAATAAAACCGGTCTGTAGAAAACCAAGAGGTGTTTCGTTCTACTGTTGCTCAAGTTGTGCTCTCTTTTGTTTCCGATGTTTTTGTCGATGGCTCCAAGTCCACTTGTTATACTGTTGATTATATATATATATATATATATATATATATATATATATATATATATATATATATGCGAAGTAGAAGTGGCAGGAGTAGAGTTTACAAATGAATGGATTGTTACTGATGCGAGCATACGTGGCTCTTTCAGCGTATCGATGTAAGAATACGCGAAAAACCTATGGGAAACAAATCCACGCAACTCACAGATGGTGAGGCTAATTATCGCGCGGAGGCAAGGGGTGTTACTTCTTTAAATTGGAAAAGCTGCATAGTGATATCTGTCTAGTGCACCTTTGTACGCAATATAATTGTCTATCACTGGCTTAGTAAGGCCTGCGTGACCCCGTCACCTCCATTTGCGATTATGCCGGCCGGTCACCGAAAAGATTGCGCGCACGGCTTGCAGTCCTTAGGTCACCGGTTCGAGTCCGCGCAGGGGCGGGCGTCTTTGCGGTATACTGGGCCCACGCGCAGCAGCGCTCACGTGGCAGCGAAGCGTCGGTGTATTGTGCCGGCGTACTGCTGATGATCTCGACTTTTGACTATTTGCTATCTTTTGAGTTGTTACTGAACCAATCAATACAACTGGATGGCGAAGAGTTTATGTAATAGACCATGTCCGTACAACACAATTATTGTCACGAAGACATCTGAGTCGCCAGGCAACCAAGGGATTTGCTCTACGCGCTTCACCTTCAGGCATACGGGACAAATGTTTCCGATTCAGCTACTGGATGGTTCATCGAGCTGATGTAGCAGTTCTTGCACATATACTGCATCTTGACCGGATCTATTTCATAGTGCTATAAACTCTGTGCAACATGCACTGGAAGTGTAGATATGTCTAGATTGTATACACGTGGTCAGACATGTGATAAACAATCCTGAGCCACGGGTACCCACACATACACATGCGCTTCGAGGTTTAGTGGAGCTGCGAAATTAGGCTTCTGTTTATATTCGGCGTGATGTTGTAATACTTCTTTATGTAGGAGTATATATATATATATATATATATATATATATATATATATATATATATATATATATATATATATATATATATATGTCAAGCGTATTATAGGCTACAACGAAGCCTGGTGCTACCAGGTGCGCATGCGTAGTTACGCGACCTGGATAATATAAAAATAAACGCTCCAAGTAAATATTCAGAGCGAATACTTTTAACTAGTAAGAAAGTTTTATGTATTCGTAAGCTTATTTAGTATTTGTACGCCACTTTTCGGCTCCGATTCCCGTCAGTTTTCTTTTACCTTTAGGTATATCAACCAGGGAGATCAATCGAAGGAGACAAGTGTTTGGGACCAACGTTATTCCGCCAACCCCGCCCAAAAGCTTTCTACAACTAATGTGGGAAGCGCTACAAGATGTGACGTTGATTGTTCTTATGGTCGCAGCTGGCGTGTCGTTACTGCTGGCACTTTACAGCAAATGTACGTAAATCGAGAAGCATTTATCATCTGCCGACTTTTTGTAGCGGTTTTACAACCTTACCGTACTGTAACGGCCATAAACAAGTTGTCATTACTCAGAGTTTTCCGACGGGTGCATTACCATTTCTTCGTAGCAATTTGAACTTCATGCTGGTAGGCTTTGGTCTACGTGCTCTACTTATAAAATGTCGTCCTTAACTTTCGCTCATTTAAAATACGGAATGCAACCAACCAGAAACGGATAATGCGGTATTAATCTTTTTATGTACCATCAACTTTCGATGGCGCTCAGACCACGCATCCCCGTATAGTTCCAGACTAGATTTTCTGTTATGCTGTGGCAAGCAGGGTTATACGGCGGCAGTACATCGCCATCATAACTGATGTACTACAGCAAATGACAGGTGGTATCAGAAATCTCCACAGGCTCGATTTTCCAGCGTTTTCTATTGGTGACCTGTCAGTTGGTCCCCGCGATGTGTCTGGATATTAGGCAAAAGTGGTCTGTCTTAACGGTTACCCAATAAACTTACAGTTCACTACACTGCTTACAGTGAAAACTTTCTACCTAGCTGACACCACATCACATGATAGGCATTCTCTTAGTTCTTCCAACGTACGGCTTTCAGGTTATCGGTAGACTTGCAAAATTATCCCCTTATGGGAGAATCATGCCGTCCGGGTTAATTCAAGCAACATACGTCTAACTTTCTTCAAGCAATTTCATTAACTAAACTTATCGCTCCCATGTAACTACAGAACGGAACACAGGCCCAGTCGAAGTAAGCTTTAGCAACATTAGTTCAGCGACATGATATTTGGCATTTGTTGTAGCCATCTACACGAAAGCAGAAAATACGACAAAGGCAAAAGGTCTTCTATACTGGCGATTATTGTTGGACAATAATGCTACTCAGTGGGATTCTGTTCAAAAGTACAACTTGTCTCAACGTTTTGACTTGGTCCTTCTCAGCGGTTTAAGGCTAAACAAAGTTTGCTTGTCTAGATAGGAGCACATTTTTACGGTCGCTGCTAGTGCATTTGGAGGATTCCTTTCGAGTAAACAGAACAACTAACTGCATTTACAAAATCCCATGTAAAGTGTTTACACAAGTGTATATTGGACAAACAACGAAGGAACTACGTACACAAAGTTTAGAACATAGGTGGCGTACATCACAACATCTGAGGAACGAGCTCAGTATAGAGCTGTGCTCAGGCTCGGCGGTAGCAGTGCTTGCGCTAGACACAGGGCAAGAAATCGACTTCAAAAATGTCGTTATCAGGGGATTGCAATCAGTCCATCAAAGGCAAATTACTGAGAATAAAGTTATAGGACTAACAACTGCGCGGTGAGTCCACTGGTGTGAGGCTAAATTTGTTGACAGCTTTTTCTATCTGTTGAATTTTGACCATGATCATCCTGTGGGACCGGTTAAACTTCAGCTTTTTTTTAACCCGTATAAGACCTTCATTCCATTGAGTAGGGCTTGGTGTCCATACTTACTCCGGCCAGTTTGATAAGCGTCGACGGATAGATCTGAAATTGGAATGGACTATCAACACCCCACCACCAAATTCCTAAGTATCGGAGACAATTTCTATCAGTGACCAACTTCGTTCCAACAGACCACTTAAAACTGCCCGACCATATCAGTAACTTCTCTTTGACCAGCATCTTTTGTTTCCTATTTGACCCTAGCTGAAGCCTATGAAGTACATAATAACATAGTGGCCTTTGACCGCCGTGACCTTTTGCCATGTATGTATGTGGCTTATCCGTGATCGGTATAAAGTGCCGCGGTATTTTAAACAAAGGCACTTCGGCTGAAGAAGTCTTTGAGTCAAAAGCGAAACCTTGTGCATTTAACAAATATACTAACTCGTCGTTTCCCAGGCCTTTTGAAGTGAGTTCTCGCAGTTCTCTCACTGCTCTGCTGCACCAGCTGCACATTTTTCATTAAGTCTGTATATGCACTAACAAACAAGTTAAGTATACAAGCACGAGACACTTAAGCTCATTTCCTTTGACGACAGTGGCAGCTGAGCCCGGGTTTGGAAGTGTGCCGTTGGTACTTCTAAGGTAACAGCACATAATCGCGTGCAATTGAAGCGTTGCGCAACTAGCCGCAGTCAACTTTTAATTTTGTACTGAGTGGGACAACGGACCACACGCTTTGTATGGTACAGTGGGCTGAATTTACACCACTCCTATTCTATTCGGTCCACCGGGGCAGTGTACGTGATTGTAGATCAAGTTGGTCAAGCTGCCTCGACTCGGATCACGCTGTGGACTGTGCGAACATCTGAATGCGCTTTGAGGGTACCTCGAAAACAAACCACCGTACGCTGGATACCAACAGGCTAGCTAACCCCTCCATTCAACTGGTTTATCAATCCTCCTTATCAGATGCGCTTCCTAGTACTCCACCTACGGAGATTGAACCTCTCTGGAATTTCTTGCAGAAGGCGTTGTTTTCTTTCGGTCAATCATACTATGGAATTGCTGGGCGTCCTATGAGAGGCTGAATCTCTGCTCGCTCATTGGAGTTGTTTGACCGTCGTCAAAGTATCCCAGCTGATTCAAACTGCGTTGAAGTCCGCCGCAACCTCAGCCAACAACTCAAGCAATGTCTGCGTAACGATTGCGAAGCTTAGTGGTCTCAGCGTGCTTCGGGGCTTGCGATAGCAGCTCACTATGAAAGTGTTCGCAAGCGTTTCCACTGAAAACGAGCTCATTCGCTACATCTTAGTCCTGGGATCTTTCCCAAAACTGCGTCAGTGAAACTATTTACGAGGTTGGTGGATCACCAATCAGTAGTTTGCGTATGCGCATGGACCGCCAGGCTGAGCGCTTTCACGATCAATTCAGTTGACTTCCTCCCTCCCGCCAAACAAACAGGGCAATCTGCGCGCCTTGGAATCTTTCACTGGATAAACCCACCGACGTGGAGGTCTGTCCTGGCCTACGTCATTCGAAGCGATTCAAAGCTGCTGTATAAGTACGGTGACGAGGCGCTTGTCAACCAGTTAACAGTTCTGTTTTCGAAGATCTGGTATAAATAAAAGGTTCGGCCCTCTTGGGCGAGTCACTCACTGTACCCATCCTCATAACTGGTGTTCATACCTCTTGCGCCAAACACAGAGAATCGGTCCAATATTCGTCACCTCCAACGTGCTAACATCTACTCTACTGCGCAGTCTAACACCAATTTCAGAACTACATTCCCGTGTGGAATAGCCTGCTTTCCGCCCCGGTTGAGGGGATGTGGACCACAAGTTTACACTCTGTCAACTCCCCGAGCAGCGCCAACTTTATCGCCAGTCTACCATAGTCGCCTTTTTCGTCATCCGAGATGCGTTCGATTCGGTCGACTGGTCTGCTCTGTGGTTTTGTCTGCAAAGGAATGGGGTTCTCGAGAAGCATATTGTCCTACTTCGAGCTTTAAAAAGCAATGTCTCTGGCAGTGTGTGGGCTTACGGTAAGCGCTCTTCACCTTTCGCCATCATTAGCGGTGTGTGACAGGGATGCCCTGTGCCCTCGCTTCTCTTCAATTTTGCGATTAAAGATGTCTTGTTAAGCGTTCTGGATGGTCGCCTGGGTTCTAGCCTAGAGTTTCTTCCGGGCAACCGCGCGACTCACTTGGACCATGCTGATGATATTGTTTTGTTCGGTGACGACAGATCATGCAGGTCTTTCTAAACCGCTTGGTGTTTGAAGCTACCAAGTATGGCATGACCTTTACTTCATCGAAATGCAAGGTCCTACTCCAGGAGTGGCATTCACCTGCCTCTGTGCTGATTCTTGTAGGCGTGCGGCCTGAAGGAGTAAATAGCTTCATTTATCTTGGGAGCTGCGTTTCTTCTGATGGCACTATTGGAAGAGAGCTTTCTCTCCGTATTGCCAAAGCCCAATCAGCTTTCACTGATCTGAGGCATTTGTCATGTTGTCTTGACATTTCATTCACCGTGAAAGGCAGGGTGTGCAATGCATGTGTTCGTGCGATACTGCTGTACGGAAGTGAGTTTTAGCAGATCCGTATAGTTGACATGCGTCAGGTTTCGACCTTTGACAACGGTTGTCTGCGCAGCATAGCTCGTGTGTGGGGGGAACACCATGTTAGCAACGTCGATATTAGACGTCGCGTCCTAATTTATACGGGTCTACCTCTTGACAAGCCAACATCGCTGCGTCAGTTGAGGTGGCTAGGTCACCTCCTACGCATGCCGTGCGGGCATTTACCACGGCGCGCTCTATTCGCTCGCGCAAGGCCGCACTGGAAGAAATCACTCGGTGACCAACCTAGATGGTGGCAAAACATCAAGGCGCTGACTTCTAGTTGAGCTGTTGTCATCCCCGTACGTCTACCGGGCTGGGGAGTCCGAGATGAAGAACATCGCTGGTTAGAGACTTATACCTTCCATGGCGCGTAATCGCGGGCAATGGAAGGCATGCATGAGTCTTTGCATTGATTCTAATGATCAACACCGTAATCTCTCAAGTGACAAAAAAGACAAAATAGCGTGTGCAAAACAAAAATACACTTCGTATATTTTTAAAAATCTTTATACCTATTAAACACATGCACTTCTGGTTTATAGATGGCTGAATGTCTATTAGATAGCCTGCTGCTAAAAGCACCGGTCCATAGCCTTGAGGATCACAAGCCTGTCTTTTAATCCGAGGGCGCTCGTTCGATCCTGTATGGGGACCGGGTGACCCTCGCAGTAACCTTAGCCCACGTACGACTGTTGGTGAATGCGCGGCGGCAGATCATCGGTTCTGCTTACAGAGTTACTGCTGATGCTCTTTTCTTTCCTTTTTACGAATTATCTTGGCTATTTGATAACCGCTTCAATAAGTGGACTATAGTGAACTCCACTAATAATTCTACGGGGATGTGTACGTCACTGGCGCCCGAAACCACGGGGGGCACGTCAAAGTGTCTTTCCGGTTCGATGAAGGGAATTTTCTTAACTTCCAATATACCGAAACCACGAGTATGGTTCTATGTTGTTCATGTTCTACATAGCACATTATACTACACTCACTAATTGCGCACGAGCGATGAAGCCTAGGTGTGTTGTGCTCATCACTACTTGATAAGACCTTAGCAAGAGAGAGTTATTCTCGTTTCCAGTCGAGGTTGTTACAACGTGGATGCGCTATAGGCAAAACGGCTCCACAATTGAGTAAAACTTCAGATACTGGACAGCGAAGAGTGGCATGCATTGCACACCTTTGTGTCTTAACTATGCCGCAATGCAGATTAACTTGGTTGTTTACTTCGTCAGATCGTAAGCACTCTTATGAAAAGAGATGTTCCAATACCCGATATCAGTGAGATGGTCGTAAAGAGCACGCGACTGAAAAACCAGGCATATCGATCATCGTAGAGAAAAACTGGTGTGGCCATGAAGCTAAAACCGATAGCAATCGTCAATTTTAATGCAATATGTGAAACGTGGATCTTTGCGGATAACTGGAAAACTAGACATAGTTTTAGTCGGCGAACAAACTCGTGTATACGAAATAAAGCGCCTTCTTGCATTTGATAATTAGATTCTTCATGGATCTATTCAGCATAGCCAATAACCTTTGGTATATATATATATATATATTGCTAGAGTATGTTGCTTTCACATTAGCAAGCTAATAGTTTTCAACTCGCATCATGGACCCAGACCGCAACATCTCATTCTCGTGTGCCAAAATAATCAGCTGTTTTCGGACTCTTGTGTAGACAAAAATGGTTTACCTACCATCTTAGGCAACACCAAAACAAGTCTCATAGTCCAAGACACACTCAGTGAATGGAACTAGGATCATCCAAGCAGTGGGAAGAGAACTGATTAGTAGTCATTTATCTTCAACCGTATCTTTCAATGTCTTAAGCAGCATCATCATTCACCAGTATACAAGTTAGCTAGAGGTGTGAAACATCTCAACTATTGTGCCGCAATACACGGGAAAGGAAAAAATGGCGCAGCAGAGACATGCTGGCTGATCTACCAGTAACGAATGGATATTGTTCCGGAAAACTAACAGCCAACTGTTTGCTGTAACAAATTTTTTTGTGTTTCCGAAATACCATCACGGTTGGAGGAGGACAGGGACAAAAAGTCAGCACAAGCTTCAACATAGTCTTGTTTACACAACCACGTAATTTCAACCCGTAAAGTATTGAACTATCACTCTATCAATTCGGCTCAGTATTTTGGCATTAAACGCAGGATGCGCAGATCAAAAGCTTGATGACATTTGTTTTAGGCAGCTTGGCGACGTAGAGATATTGCATGGTTTCAAACCAAGCATACAAAACTGTCTACATAGACGAGAGCAAGTCCGTACTTAGAACAACTGCAACTCAATCAGCGGCCGAGTACATTTGAAACGGTGCATTTAAATGAGAACTGAAAAGCTTTTTATTGCTACTAACGAACGGATGGTACTTAGCTATACAGATCATTTCACTTTCTATCATTTCAAAACGGATTCAATTGCAACTAGTTTCATATTTATATTACACTGGATTAATAAAGAAGTAAATATCAGCAATCATAAATTGTGGCTCCATAACCCTTTTGTCTACCCAGCACGTCTTGCAACGATTCGCGCAGTATTCGCATCCATGTCAACTGGAGCGCTTTTGTTATTATTTAACTCACCAAAGCGGATCCCTTAGCAACCGATACAGCAAGCAGCCGATCAAGATAGGGTATCTAAGCTGCCGGCATCATCCATTGCCAGACAGTTAATGGAAACAGGCCATCGGGATGGCCATAATCAACGTTTACATTCATATATCGAAACGAAAACCCCAGAGTATTGAGGTTTGCCGAAGCTGTGGCGCTTGACCAGCGTCGCCCTATTCTTTGTGTACTGAAACAATTAACAGTCTCCCTAAAGCTTTCTTGAGGCTCATGACCCTAAGGTCAGGCTCGTCGATCTGTTATTCTTGCGTCTACGTAATTTCCCTTTGTGACCAGCCTCCAACGTTCGAATTTTTCTATCACGTGATTAAAGTTTACGTTGTTAGTTTGTGGGTGATCAGGTAACGCGAAATGGTTCCATTTCACGGTACAATCTTATTACGGAGGAGTAGTAGGGGGAGTTGAATGGTATAGATACAAATTCGTCACAACTAGAGTCACTCAGACGGCCGTCACACGCCCGGAAAAGCATTGTGCGCGCATTTCATCCTTTCGGGAATCGTCAGCAGTGCGCATTCAATCGGACACTGGTAGGGCTCGAACCCGCAACTCGACTTGCGCTAGTCTTTGGTTGAGAACACTGAGCTACGGAGAACGGGAACGACCATCGTAAATAAGTTACTAGATGTGATATAGCGCAAACAGTACGCAGACCAGACCACTTATAATGCCATAGGTTAATTGGCGGCTTAAGTTTGGTAAGCTCGCCGCTTGGTGAGGGGGCTACCCTGTCCTCTGCACGGCAGTAACGTGTAAGTCAGTGGATAGTGAGCGGCGCTATATTACATCTAGTAACTAATTCACGATGGTCGTTCCTGTTTTCCGTAGCTCAGTTGTCTCAATCACGGACTGGCACCAGTCGAGTTGCGGGTTCGATCCCTACCAGGGTCCGATGGAATGCGCACTGCTGACAATTCCCGAAAGGATAAAACGCGCGTACAGTGCTTTTCCGGGCATGTGACGGCTGTCGGAGTGAGTCTAGATGTGACGAGTTTCTACCTATACTAGTCTTCTTATTGGCATATGACACAGGGAACTCAGTGCTTTTTACCTCCCATACAGTCTGCTTTAGGTACACAACTACTGCGGGGCAAGTCATTTTATGCTATTTTGCAGGACACTTTAAGGTAATTTTGCTCCAATGGCAAGTTGAGAAAGACTCGATTTTCTGCCTAGGCTCAATCAGCGTTTGCTCCGAGCTGAGGTAACGAAAGATTGATGAGGTTCCTCACATGATACCTAGCGTACCAGTTTTCGTCATTTTTTCCAGCTGGGTCTATTATCGACTGTCTGGTACCAACATTTATTTAGTGGTTACATTATTAATAACGCAGGAAAATAAATGTTTTGTGGGTTTGCTCCTTGTTTTTTACCGGGCATTTTTCTCTCCGTAAATTTACCAGTAGCACTGGGGGTTTTCAGTGTTAGACCTCTTTCTGTTACCAGTGTTTTCAAGCTATCGGTAATCGATAGCAAACAACAATGAGTGTATTTGTTTAGGAATTATTGGAACGTCAAATAATTTCAGGTCATACGACAAAAGCGCTTGTGAATGAAATCAAACTGCACGAACACAGTATGGTAGGTACTATTCGCGTTGATTTATGCTTTGAATTTACTTCCGCGTTTTACATGCAGTTACAGATAACGCTGGAAGTACTTTATAATGGATTCGATTTATAGTTATCTCACGATCGATGTATGTATTGGGAGTAGGGTACAAGAGTATCATTGCCAGAATAGGACATTAAGAAAGTGACAAACATCGTTTAACTTGATTATCCAACTCTGTATCATGTGTCGAGATGACAATGCTTGTTACGTTCAGCGCGCTGTTATCTTTAGTATCGTGGACAATCTTTTGTCAGTTGTCGCAGCATGTACTTGTATAAAATCGCTGAAATACCATGATCTCTTACTCATTAACCTTCAGATTTTGGCGGTGAAAATACTGATGCTGAGGATGAAGAAGGTGAGGTTAGTTGGATCGAAGGCGTGGCTATCCTGTGCGCCGTTGTTGTCGTTGTCCTGGTCACCGCAACTAACGACTGGCAGAAGGAACGACAATTCCGAGGATTGCAAGAAAAAATCGAATCAGACCACCGGATGTCTGTGCTCAGAGAAGGAGAGATAACAGAAATTCTTGTTGGTGACATAGTTGTCGGCGATATTTGCCTGGTGAAATATGGTAAGCACTTTTTGGTTTTAGAGTTAAATCTAGCGATAGCTCAGGCCATGGACGAATACGCCCTTAACACTGTGTAGTATGCCTTACTAGTATCTCGGTCAGCATTTCACTGTAGTTAGTAAGGTTACGCAGCGATGTACGTTGCTCGTTATGACACTCCAGATTAGTGCCAAAACGAGTTGTACACCAGAGGAGTACTTGCAGGCGAAGGTTAAACGACATGACGAGCACAAGTAAGTCGTGATTTATTTTTCGTTTACAAGCTTTCACCTAGTCCACACGTGATTAATGCGGCGATTATTATAGTTGCGTTGGATTAGCAACAGATGTGTCGCTACAAACACAATAGCTAGACTGTCTCCTGATCTAGTCAGTGTAAAACGTCCAAACGAATGAGTACAATGCGTACATATGTCTGGACCATGAAGGCCCCATTGTTTGACTTAAGCTCCTATCAGTTGCCCAGTCCCACTTTTCATGTTGATGTTGCCAATTTGCTGTTCCACCTTTAGGCTGCGCACTTATTGAACATTAGACAATAATGAACACTCTGGGATTTTTTTCTTGACTTTTTCATCATTCCCAAAACAGGACGAGTGAACCGCTCAAGACAAATCGACGTTCTGGATTTCACTACACTGAAAACTGGTTAACCACAAAATAGCACCAGGTAGAACTAACTCGCTAGATTAAGCTACCAGATTTGGATTGGTATCGGCATCTTAGTGATTCGAGGCATTCCGCATCACTTGGCAGACATCATCAACGTCCTAAGTCGAGTGAACGCAGTTGTATTCCTTCTTTTATGTGGGATATATTCTCTTAACCATTGAAGCTTTGTTTTAATATTTCCAGTTCATATTGGCACGTAAATTGCACAGAACATTGTTGTGTTGCTTAGTGCTGTAGTGTATCTGCTCCATACTTCGTAACCAGTTAGTAGGTGTATTTAATGTTCTAGGTATGAAGCTAATGTAGGATTCTGGTGGCACTTCATTTTACGTGTCAGTACACGTCCACTCAAGTGTAAGTTCATAATAAGGTGGCAGTTCGTAAAATAGCTTTATCTCAGTACTGTAGTGTCCAATAAGGTAACTGCTTGTGACAGAAAGGACAAATCGTCTGTCCGGAGGTTGTGGGTTCGACTCCGCGTAGGTTACCTGGTAACCAACGCAGGATCCTTAACGCACGCGCGAATGGTGGTTCTTACGTGGCAGCAAAGCGTGTCGGTACGGCGCACTGCTGATGCCTTTTTTCCTCACCGTCTTGTAGGTATTTCTGGTCGAACTGCATGAGTGACGTTAGTATTACCAAGGTTTCTATTGATTGCAGTTCGAATGCAGGCAACGAAAATCCGAACCGACGCAAATGAAGGATGTATGCGACATAGTGCTTTAATTACATATGCGATGAAGATAGTCTCTAATCTAGTGATGAAATATCTACAGAAGCCAGCCTCCTCACCCATGTCTCAATCTACTAAGCTTCATTGTGATTGTCGCTAAACCAAATGCACCTAAATAACTTTATGTAAGAAAGCTCATCCTATCCTGTGGTAAATAAACAAGCTGTCACTTAAGTCCGCTTTGTACTCACTTGAGATATAGGGTCTTAGATAAGTTCTAGCAACTGAAGGCCGACTGCCTACATAAGTTGCTCTCGTTAGTCCTTGAAAACGAAGTGCATCCACTCGCTGGGCGCGGAACGACCATACAAATTACACACAGCGCCTACCAAATCCAAACTTGCTCGCTTGAGAAACATACATGCCACTTGAGTATTGGGGCAGGGGATAAACATTGTTAAAGACAGTTTACACTTATACCTCTGCTAGGGTGGAGCCGACTTGCGGTGTGCAAGATGTTTCCTTCCATGCATTTGCCGCCTATGAGGAGGTCCGCAGCCGTTAAAGTTAGGTGCCTTCAGAACGCTCTTTTGTAATCTAAGACATGCGATTTTTTTGGTTGCTCGACACTCGAATCAGAACACTTGCGAAGGAGTTAAGACTGTGTTATTTCCTGTTTTCCTGGGTGTTATCTACCTTATTTGTTGCGTGGCTATTACTATGTTCCACGTGGAAAATATGAGGAAAAAATGTAGTAGTGCTATTCACCTGTCATTTAAAAAGCAATCTTCTAAACGGCGAAATAACCCAGATGAAACCATACGGGTGCAGTTTCCGTTGTAATTTCTTTTCATCGGTGAGCATTTGATTTATGTACAAACGCTGACTTCGGTACCTCAGGTATCTCCGCTGATTGTCCCCAAATCACACTAACTACCGCCTCAGTGCAAACATATTGCTCGCATTCAATGTTTCGTCTTCTACTTAAATACCCAGTGGTTTCTTCAGCCTATTCATACACACGGTCTTACCACAAATAATTCATATCTAATCAGCAGCCACAGGTTTTTTGATTGTACTGTAGTAATACATTTTAGGAGTTTCGTTGTGGTGAACCAAGTGCAGGTACTACTGCACTAGGAGTCAGTAGTATAGAGTGATAACGGAACCGGGCGGCAACGAGCCGAAAACGAACCAAGTCGGCGTGCTGACACAAGCAGAACGCTTAAACACCGTGGATGAATGCGAGTAAGAAGGTGATACCGAATCAGCGCTTAACAAAGCCTCGAACACAAGCGCGCAACGCAACCTCCAAGATCGCGTTCGCAGATGAATGGAAGTGTTAGTGGTCAGACCCAAACCCTGCTATTAATGCTCGTTGTCACATTGATTGACTCAGCTTCCATTTCACAGGTTTCTGTAACGTGTCCAACGATTGGAACCTTTTGTTTTTCACCATGTTTCTTTATGCCACACCCATGTTTATCAAACCCATGCAAGACCACTCATAACGTTTTTGTTTGATAATACTCGTGACTACGCTGCTTCCCTCAGTAGTGCTTAGTTTATGCTCTGGACTAATGAGCATCGTGCACCGATGCAGAAATCGGTACTTCGTAGGGGAACCAACTGTTGTACACAATGACATCCACCAGTTGCGACGCTCTATGATGCGCGCAAGTTAAAGCTTTATCGATTTGGCCAGACACTGAACACGCTGCTAAGCAGCGCTACCGGTTCGAAGGTCGTGATTGTTTCGGGAGATATAAATGCGAAAGCCTCATCCGAGCTCCTCGGAAGTTTAGCTAGGAGGTAACTTTGAACTCAAGTATGAAAGCACGGCAAGTGGCGTGTTTGTGGCAGAAGTGCGCCGAGCACCGGCTATTTCCTAACAGCACGGCCTTCAGTTACAGTGGACTCCACTCTACCAGATAGACCATATCGCCTTTTAGTTTCAGCCGATGCGGCTCCATCCTGGTCTTTCGTTCTTTCTGGAACACGTGAGTCGATTCTGTTCTTGCCCTGCTTCCCATGAATTCCACCGCGATACCTATCAAGCGTCTTCCCCTACTGGCGACTGAGAATTTGTCAAACTTCAGTCAGCTAATGTTACCAGCACAGTCCGCAAATCAGGCTTTCACGTAATTACTCCCAACGCACTGGGCTTCAGCGGAATAGGACCTCGGCCACCATGCACGACGCTGGAGCATCAGCTTGCGCACTATCACTCGTCACCGCATCAATCACTGGATATTCACGAGGTCTGTAAACCTGCTAGACTCCAGACAAAAACTCCCTGCTGGTTCTGAGCATAATCTAAACAGATGGGCTATTAGACGCGAATTAAAGCGGAGTTTGTGTGCTGAAAAGTAAGCCTAGTGGATCAGTAGGGCTCGTGAAATAGAGGAGTCGATAGCAGTAGGTGCTTATAACAAACCAATCAAAACACCTCGTCAGATTTAAAAGGCATTATCGATGCTGAGTTTGGGAATCTCTACAGCCAACTTATATCCTTGAATCCGACATCCTCCAACACTGGTTCCTGGTTGAAGAACAAATTAGTGTATATTTCACGTTATTTTTTCAGTGCCCCAATACAACAACAGACGTGTCTCACTGCAGAGCATTACAAAGCAGTCCGTTAGCTTGAACATAACGAAGACATTACTATATTAAAGCCTGATAAGGGGTCCGGAGTGGTGGTCATCCTAGACAAGCCGGATTATTTACGTAAGATGGAGATAATAATGTCTGACAGTACAAAGTTTCAGCTGGATACCGCCTTTGACACTGTTCGTCTAGTCGAGAAGCAACTTTGTCGTGAACTACAAGTCTTACAACTTCACTGCCTTATAGCTGAAGACCAATAGAAAACATGGTAACCAATGGGTACCCATACTCCACAAATGTACGGTTTTCTCAAAGTGCATGAGGAAGGAACGCCCATGCGACTAATTATTTCTGTGGTCGATTCACCGTACCACACCATTACCAAATGGCTGAACAACATGCTTGAAGCTATCAGAAAATCAATAGTAAAGCATACTTTGTCAAACACTTTCAAACTACTGCCTTACTTTGAATATTTAAACTTGACCAAAAAGCGAATATGTTCACTTGATGTACAGTCCTTCTTCACTAACATCCCGCTGAACGAAACGTTTGATTATCTACGTGAGTTTATTTCAAAACAACCTCCGACTGCAATTACCCGCGCAAATGTTGCAACATTTGCTTTTTTATGCAGGAAAAACATCAAGTTTTACTTTCAAGGAAAGGCGTATCGACAGATAGATGGTGTTGCAATGGGCAGCCAACTTGGCCCTTTGTTAACGGATGTGGTCATGGGCATGATCGAAGAGAGAGCAGACAATATCATAAAATTAGTTATTCTATACACGCGTTATGTGGATGATTTACTGCTTATCATGGATTCCGACGAGGACATTGTGCGTGCGACCGAGATTCCAAACAGTATACACCTGAACCTTACAGTGATATGTGAAATACAAAATATAATTGTCTCCATACTGCGACATAGAAACAAATGTTGGTAGTTCAGGTTGTTCATTTGGTGATCTGAGTGTTCCCTGAGCTCAGCAGTTTGACTGCAGTTAAACTGCCTTCTCCCCTACATAACACAAACGTTCGCTCG